GGGCCTGACGAGCTGCGCATCATAAGGAGTCATGCTGCACTCTAATTACCACAGAACCTCTCCCCCCCCCCCCCCAAGCTTCGTGCTCGTAGATAAGAATACTGCGAGGACATACTCTAGCTACGGGACCCTAAGGGTCCATGTACCTACATAGGGAATATCTCTAATATACTTTCGCAGAAAACCTCATCCCCGTCTCCAGCCCGGCCCATTCCACCCCTCCCGGCAAACTCCACAATCAAGTCGGGGCACTGTTGTTGTTGCTGCTGCTGTTGTTGTTGCTGTTGTTGTTGCTGTTGCTGCTTGTTCTGCTGATGCTGGCGAACGTCACCTCGATCAGCATGTTGGCCACAGTACCTTGGAGCCATCGGCTGGGATAGGCACCCCTGAAACTTTTTTTGTTGTTCAGCCTACACATGGATCGATGAAGCTTGAGGACTTGAAACGCAGGATTGCCGAGTTTGCCAGCCAGCGGCATTGCCTTGGGCCGGCCGAGGTCTAGTAATTCGTCGCACTTGAAAAATGTCCTCATGAGTTATTGAATTGTCCCATGGTACGTGAACACCCGCATATCGAGGTTTCGTTGCAGGCATATGCACCGTACTCAGGACGTAGGCTGCTTGCTCACATGAACACCACATCCTCAGCAACACGGAACCATCTATCTTGCCCATTGCCAAGTTCCTGCTATCCAGTTGACCGGGTTTAGGACTTTCAACGACTCTAATTTCAAATACTGCGGATTCTGAAAGTCCTGGCGAAATGCTCTCCAACGCAGAGTTGGGGACATGAAGACGATGAAATCTAGTGTTGCTGGTTGCTGCGACCGCGGGCCCCGACAGCTGAGTGCACGGCGACACGGAGGAACGGAGATCAACCTCATGAGAGATAACCGCATTCAAATCCATCATTGTGCTTCCTTTTGGGGACCAAATTCCCTAAGTTCGGTCATAAATTATTGTGCAGGAAATTATCATGTGGAATTGCATCGAGCAATGCTAAGCCTTAGCTAAGCCCCGAAACCTCGAATCAAGAACCCAAGGTCATCTGTCGGAAGCCTCTGCCCAACTAGTCCAAGTCCTGTGGGCTGTCTGAGACTCCTGCCAAGGATGTCATGACCTTGAGCACGGGTCGGTTTTGGGGGGAGGGCTCAAAGCCAGCTCAGGCGCAAACAAGTGCATGGGGAACCCGCAACCTGGCAAAACCTGAAATTCCGCAACCCCTCTCGGCAAGAGGTTGCCGGAACTGCCGCACAGTCTGCATCTAACTCTGCTTGAAGGTTCATGGTACTCACTAACCAATTATAACTGTACTTATAGCCCTACTTACAATTATAATTGGTTAGTAAGTACCATGAACCTCCAAGTGGGCCGTCATCCTCACAGCCCGAGTCTGCCAAACCTGAACCGTGAGCTGTCAAACCCCACGAGAAGGAAAGCAACAAAAATGACATCAGCGACCGTTCCAGGTTCCACGGGCTTAAACAGTACACCCTACATGCCGTACACCCGACAACCCCGCAAACCTACACCTCTAGGCCTCTAGACATACCATCTGGAGACTGAACCTTCGAACTCTGAATTATCAAGCCAGGGGCGGGCGAGGATGCGGCACGGAGCCGAAGGTAAGTCGGGCGCAAGCGCGGTGAAGAGGCTTAAGCCGAAAGGGTTGCGGTTTAGGGTTTCGGGTTTAGGGTTTAGGGGAAAGGGCAACAAACAAGAACTTCGGTCAGGGCTTACGGGTTCGATTGTCATCATTGGTTCCTCTGGACACTTGCAGCTGCTTCAATACGAGGAACCCATATATTTTTGGAGCTGCTACGTGTAGCCCCCCCCCCCCCCCCCCTTTACAAGAGTGCACAACCCAAGGGCACACATTTCAGAACCCTAACAAAGGTAGGGGACCAACATTGGCACAAACCGGATCTAAGCACAGTTTCCTCTGGGCTCCCGCCCTGGACCGTTACATTCGCTGACCCGACACCCGACGGCTCCAGAATCCCAAGTGGCCTAAGTGGAAAACCCAAAAAACACACATGCACACAAAGTCCCACACGAAACCACTAAACCCTAAGACCATCTCAATCCTCAACCCTCAAAAGCCAGATGCCGAATCCCAGGCTGCCAGCCCAGGGGGGGCCTTCAACCAGCCCAACAAACACCTGAGGCATTTTGTGATGAGAAATCAGAAACCCTAAACCCTAAACCCTAACCCTAAACCCCAAACCCTAAACCCTAAACCCTTTAAAAGGAGTTTATGTACCAGGGCTCAGGGGTTGAGAGTGTTGGGCCGCACATGGCACTCTTCGCACTGCTTGGGACTAGCATCGAGGGGGGTTTTGGGAATCCGTCTTAAGGGTCCGTAAGGTAGAATGAGGGCCATATTGGGAGTATGTTCAGGGTTTAGGGTTTAGGGCTTAGGGTTTAGGGTTTAGGGGAACCTTTGGGGGTGCAACCTTCGGGGTACGAGTCTTGATCCTTTTGAGGGTTTGGGTAAAAAGCCACTCTCAGCCGCCCACTTGCTATGGAAGTCATGCCCGCAGGTCGTCCTGGTGTTACAGCTTTGCCACGCCTTTAGGGTTTAGGGTTTAGGGTTTAGGGTTTAGGGTAACATGATCCTAGTGGGCCAGCCAGGCCAGCCGTTGCAGTTGGAGAGGCGAGACAAGGGCCACGATGCCACAAATAGCTACAGTCATTTGCAGCCTCATTCATGGGATGCTTTGATGTGGAGGTAGGGCTGGAGATAGCATAAACAGGGTGGATGCCACATATCTTCGCCAGATTACTGTTTTGCATGCGCCTGGCATCCACTGTTGCTTGTCAGACGGCTCAATGTTCCATCACACAGGGGCGGCGGACGGTCGACGTCCACGGACAGCAGGGACATGTGAACATGAAGGGTGGGCTATATACCCCTAAACCCTAAACCCAAAACCCTGAACCCTAAACTACATTGTGCGTCCTGACTTCGCTAGACCGTTCCTGTCGCGATGTTTTTGTCAAGGGGGTGCAGGGAGTCTTTCTGGAAGCCAGCCATCGGTATCTAAACCTTAAACATCCCTAGGCCCTATATGGGTGCCCCATGTACCTATAATGTATACATACATATATATATATATATATGTTATACATATATATATATATATATTTTTATATTTATATTATGTACGGCACATACAGACTTAGCCATTTTCTCGAGGCACAGGACTGGTCTGAAAAGGACAGAGCATGAAGCACACGGCAAACACCTCTACAGTGGGAGACTCAATGCAAACAGGGGAATGTTGCTTGAACCGCTTGGGAGCCCATGCAGTTTGACATGGGTAATTGCATGGACTGTCAGGGCCATAAAGCCTAAACTCCTAATACCCTTCGGAGATCCGAAAGCCCCCATAACCTCCGCCGTCCTGCGGATCTCTAGCCGCTCGTCGAATTCGCCCATGCAGATACAGCACTCCTGCATGGTCACGTGGCAATTTCTTTTGGCTTGCGGTTTTCGAGTTTCAGGGTTTCGACTCAACAACGCTCGTGCACGAGGTCTAGAGTCTGGGCTTACAGGCCTCCGAGCTTAGGTGGGGGTGCCTGCGGCGACTTTGGTGGCAGGGCGCGTTCACATCTATCCTCCCTGCACCATGGGACATTGCAAAGTGGTTACCGGTAGTCCTGGTTCTGCTTGAAGAGTTCTGCGTCGTACCTGAGAGCTCTGAGAGCGTCAAGTCGGGTTGGCGCCAACTGAGCTAGCGGGTCAGAGCTTACGGCCTGCGCAACACAAAAGGCTCGTCTGAGGGGTGCCGGCGAGAAACGTAAACGAACAGGTAGTGGGCACACACACACACACGTACATGTTGATATGTGTGTTTGCACATGTAAATAGACATGTGTGTACATGTACATATGTTTCTGTGCATGAATGTGCGTACGTGTTTCACGGGCCGGCACTTCTCATTGCAGTCTTGGCGAGTTGAGCATATGCATTTCGAGGTCCTACAAACATGTCCAAGCGTCTAAACATAGTTGATGATACGGAACCCGGATCCCGACAAAGCTTATTGTCCTAAGTCCGGAAAATGTTGAAGTCGCTCCCGACCCTCATCCCTGAACCCCAAAGCCTAAACCATAAACCCCATAAACCCTAAACCCTACTGAAGCCACGATCGTAAGTCTCAGAACTGCCAGCCCCGGGTCACTGGACCACCACCTGCGCCTCGAGAGTGCCATCGGGTGCCGCCTTCTCGGTGTGCAGGAGCCCGTTCCGCATCATGAAGAGCATTCTGGGACGAGTCTCCGGACTTTTCGGACGCAGAGTGTCAGGGCATCATTAAGCTTAGCAGCCCAGTAACCATATTATAATCATGGCACCCTTTGTTGGGGTTGGTCACTTTAGCAGGGATCCCACTGTCAAAAAAGGCAAAAGGGGACCACTGGGCTACCAAGTAAGACAGCCTATGAGGCACTCGAGGTGCGATGCTCATGGCTCAGGGCTGCAAAGATTTTTAGACGTTCCAAGGTTGTGCCGACCCAGGTTCGGGGCTTGGGACACAAAGCCCTTTGCTTTGGTTAGGCTTGAAGGGCATGGGGATCAGTTGTGTGGGTACTGTATGAAGCAGGGGTTTCGGGTTTAGGGCTACTAGAGATGTAAGGAAGGTGCTGGTCTCTTGCTGCCGTGGGGGAGATAAGGTTGAACCGGCATAGCTCCAACCTCCGATATACCAAGCCCTGCATCAACCCATACTCGCAGCTCTCAGCACCGAGCATGGTGTAGATCCCTACCTCGGTTCACAGCTTGGGGAGTACTGGGATGACGCATTCAGGGTGAGGTGGAAAGGTCGGTTTCTGGCATTAGGATATATATATATATATAGGGTTCATGCGCAGTGCGCATTGATACATGGATGGAAGTGCAATATAGCGAAGGCGGCTGGCCCTTCTCAGAGAGTGAGCACTTCGCATGCTGCGCATGCTCCGCACACGCAAGCTTCACAATCAGGCCTCATCAGCTGCTTAGCAGGCTGCAGTTAGCCGGAGCTTAGCACCACCAGCCGGAAACTCCACTCTGAGGTTGGACTTTCGTGAGGGCCCTGCGGTGTTCAGGTAAACAAACACGTTGAAGGCGATAGAGAACGCCGCAAAAACCTCCAAGGCGGAACACAAGGGAAAATGCGGCCCTGCATCCGGCAAATTGCTAAAGGCCTACATCTTTTCGTGGCCTGCTAGGGCATTGGACAGCACCGATCCAAAGCTCGGAAGTCGCCAGGATGCTTCAAACTACCATTCGGCAACTGCCAAAACCCCGAAACTACTCCAAGCCACCACATGAACAAACCCTAAACCCCAAACCCTAAACCCTAAACCCTAAACCCTAAACCCATGATTCGTCAAGCGGGGCCCTTCACCATGAACAACTCCTGTTTCTGCGCGATGCCTTCACGGACATGTAAAGGTCTGGCGAGATCTCCTTCGCGGCGTTGCTTGCTGTTGGTTAGCTGGAGATGAAGAAATTTAGGGTTTAGGGTTTTTTTCGCCACCCGCGTAGGAGAAGAAATGCTTTTAAAGCCAGCATTGTTGGAAGGAAAAAGGGATCATACGGGGGAATTGAAAGTGAGTGCAGTTAGGATCAAACGACAGACAACAACCAAGGAACAAACAGAAAGAAACGATCCCCTGTAGATCCCATCCCAGAAAGAAAATGCCCATTCTGGGATGGGATCTACAGGGGATCGTTTCTTTCTGTTTGTTCCTTGGTTGTTGTCTGTCGTTTGATCCTGGTTTAGGGTTTAGGGTTTAGGGTAAAGGGTTTGGGTTTAAAACGGTAAAGGTACATATAACAGTTATTCATATTGCTATAACTGCATCGACTATACTAGTTTTACTAGGATGGTTATTAATTAGGAGTATTGTTGTTTGGCGACTTGCTGCTGTTATGACCATTTGCTCGTACTATATCACTACAATCTCTACTGTTACGATCACTCCTACAGCCATTCTACCTTTTTGCAACAGGCTACAGGCTTCTTCTTCTTCCTTCTTCCTGTTTTTGTTGTTGTTGTTTCTTCTTCTTCTTCTTCTTCTTCTTCTTCTTCTTCTTCTTCTTCTTCTTCTTCTTCTTCTTCTTCTTCTTCTTCTTCTTCTTCATGCCGCCCGGGCTGCTCTCACACGACTCGCGCATGGGTGGCCGAACCTACTCTAAGTCCTAACCGCAAACCCTAGACTCTACCCCCAAGCCTCATCGGACTTTGTGACAAGGATTCCTGGCAGTTCTCCGACGTGAGCACCCAGTGCAGTCCCATGCAATGCCTGCGTGCGATCCGCTCATAGATCTGGGTCGACTGCGAAAACTTAGGGCTTTGGGAGGAAGCACGTCGACATGCTGCTGGGCCGGGGCCCTTTCTGCTGCAAGTTTACAATCCTCGAAGGAAAGCCGCGAACACGCAGGAGTGGGATGTACCCTTATGGCAACATGAAATGTCTAGGATGGCCCTTAGTACCCTCCAAAAAAATCCTAAGTCAAAGGGCTCTGTCAACAAATCTAGCCGAGACATGCCAAGGTGGTCTCTCACTGGCAACAAGAGATGTGTGTTCAGATTCCCCCTGAAATGGTGATAAGTGGCACCGGGATGTAGCTTCTACAGCGGTCAGTTTTGTGGAAGCAGGTCATGCCGTGTATAAGCCTGCCATAGTGTCCCAAGCCCCAACACAAGTTTACAACCCTAAACCCTAAACCCCAAAACCCGGGGGATTCTTCGTGTCTTGAGCTGGTGGTGAATGGCAAGGTTGCGGCCCGTAGAGACATGTTTTCTTGCCGCTGTTAATCCATCGAGTCGAGGATCAGAGGTGGTGCCTGCGAGATGCACAAGGTCTTGCGGGGGACACCGGGGCCTATAGGGTTAGGGGTTTGGGGTTTAGGATTCAGGGAGTTCAGGGCCCCGACCCAGGTTTTGGGGCTGGGATGGGTGGGCTTGTTGCCGAAGAAGCTTCAGGTCCTACTGGGGCTTAAGCAGGATCGACCCAGCACAACCCTAAACCCTTCTTCCAAGAGACTTCGCCCGCCTCCAGGAAACCTGTGCTCCCACGAGCCCCAAGCCAGCCCTAACCCTAAACCCTGAACCCCAATGAAGGAATATGGTGGCTTCCGAAATCAGGGTACATTTGGCCTCATTATGCTCGGAATCCTACTTTTTGTGGGGGGGGGGGGGGGGGGGGGGGGGGGGGGCATTTTAAAGGGGTCCCTTGCTTTCGCAAAACCCCCATATTGGACTCGAGCCTGGTGCTTCACGCCTGGGCCCCGATCTGGCGCAGCTGGCGGCAGCAGGCTCCTAGACTTGATGTCTTATTTGGGGTATTTAGGGTTTAGAGGGTTTAGGGTTTAGGGTTTAGGGCTTAGGGTTTAGGATGTTCCCCCCCTGATACTAGCAGTCCTGAATTGGAATTATAATGCCCCCCTATTATAATCCTATTACTGTTAGTATAAGGGGGAACATCCCAAAATCATCCTTCACTTCGTTGGTAATTACACTGGCAGCCCGAATATAAATTAAGGGATGTTTTCTGACTTTAGGGCATGGAGCTCTCTGTGTCAGGGCTAAGAGAATAGGAAGGGCTTGAAGGCTTCATCCTTAGTAATTTCAAGGGGTCTGTGTTGGGGAATTAGGGTCTAGGGGTTCAGGGTTGAGTGGTTCAAGGTTGGGTTTCTCCAGTTCAAGGGTTGAGTTGTTTTGCCGTTTTTTCGTTGTTTTGAAAATTTGCGTTCGTTTTTTTGTAGGGGGTTTAGGGTGGGCTTCAGGATTTGGGGACATGCCCAGGCACGGCCGCATAGACAAGGTGTGACAAGAGGTTTGGATGGTTTGGGGGGTTCCAAGCATTGAAACCTTAGGGTTTGGACCCTTCAGCGTAGTTATTCTTGGACCCTTCAGCATAGTTATTCTTGGGCTGTATACAAAATTTCGTGCTCTCACATAAAACCTGAATAGGGTTTAGGGTTTAGGGTTTAGGGTTTAGGGTTTAGGGTTTAGGGTTTAGGGTTTAGGGTTTAGGGTTTAGGGTTTAGGGTTTAGGGTTTGTTCGGGTTCGACGTGTAGATGCCGTGTGAGGGTTTTTTGGTGACAATTCAAAGGGCGTAATTGAAAGAGCCGCGGAGGCCGTGTAGTCACCCTAAACCCTAAACCCTAAACCCTAAACCCTAAACCCTAAACCCTAAACCCTAAACCCTAAACCCTAAACCCTAAACCCTAAACCCCAAATCCTCAACCCTTAGAAGCCCTAAACCCTCTAGGCTATAGTTCCTCAATCTGCGGGACAGGGGCCAGTGAGGGGCTTCTACCCACCTCACGTAAACCCTACAAACCCTCAACCCTAAACCCTCATAAACCCTCATAAACCCTCATAAACCCTCATAAACCCTAAACCCTAAACCCCAAAACCCCAAACCCTAAACCCTAAACCCTAAACCCCTTGTAAACCTTGCAAACCTTCAAGGGCACCTCAGAGAGTCGACCAGCTCTGGATTGAGATGCTCGAAGATCCCGGCGTCCGGGCCATAGACGCCCCTGCACTTTCCCAGACCCCGAGGTTTAGGGTTTAGGGTTTAGGGTTTAGGGCTTAGGGTTTAGGGTTTAGGGTTTAGGGTTTTTTTTTTGGCACCCGACTAGCCACGTTTAGGGTTTAGGGCTTAGGGCTTAGGGCTTAGGGTTTCAACGCCCCTGGATTTTCCTTTTGCCCTCTGGCAGGATCCGAGAAGTAGATCCCCCTGAAGGGATCATCCAAGAATGACCCACTATAGGCGCGGCACAAGAAGTCACCTTTTTTGAGGTGCTTGGGGCTGGGCAGGCCCCAAAAAAGGTGACTTTTTGTGCCGGGCTCTTGCGGGGAAGAGCACGGAGAACTATGAGGGCACTGCTTGCTGCATTTTGTTGATCCTCCAAGGGTCTGGGTTAGGGCCCAGGGACGTCTAACGTCCTTCTGCTGAGAATTGAACGCTTCGTGTTGGGCCCTCTGTTTAATGTTTTACATACTTTACCCGAACAGTCGGAAGGTCGTGTGGGCCATCTGGGTTTAGGGTTTAGGGTTTAAGGTTTAACAATACCACTCCCCCAGGCCAGGCTTGAGCTGGCGGACAGCGCTTCATGCAATGAGGTGTGATGCATCCCTTGCCATGTTTTGCTCAATGAGATTCGAAGCTTCACCTTGTGATGTCCCTCCCATTATACTAAGAGTCCAGTCCTTCATGGACATAACCAGATATGGTCACACTCAGTACTGTTTCATACTAAGAGTCCCAAATAAGGATTACAGTAGGGGGTAACATAATCCCTATTCAGGACTCGTAGTATTATAAGGGGAACATCCCAAGCTCCACCGCTGTTTGCGGAGGCTCTTGGGGCCCTCGAGCTGCCTCCCATATGGTTGCTGCAGGACTGTCGAATTGCAGGCGGGCGTATGTCTGGGGTGTTCACATGGGTGGTTGTCAAATTATGGTCCCTTCTTGGGTACCCTGAGTATTAGGTGCCGTATTATGATGATTCAAAAAGGAACCATAATTTTGACAACCACCCACATGCCAGCTGGTGCTTCTGAATCGGCGACAAGATGTGACAAGGAGCTTTGGGAAACTTTAGGGTCTTGGGTTTGGGGTTTAGGGTGGTAGCACACGTTCACAATCCTGGCTCCCATACTCCCCCCCCCCACCCACCCTAGTATGATTACCCTCGTACCAAGAAGTGAAGCCCACACACAAAGCCCAGACAACTCTTTCTTGGGCCTTCGTTTGGGAGGGGACAGCAGGTAGTTGCGGCAGAACCCATGACTGAAACTTTAGAAATACCAAGGCTGCCACCTCTCATTCCGCAACTCGAGAACAGAACCCCATCAACTACCCAGAAAGCGCAAGGATGCTTTGTTTTTTGTGAGCTCAGGAATCTACTACGTAATCAAGGGGTATTAGGGCTTTGTGGGTACCCAAACACCCTCGTTTAGGAGCATAATGGAAGCATGTGCAATATGTTCTGGGGTCTTTTTTCTGCAAACACAGATGTGACATAATGCATAAGGGTTCTAGAAAGCATCTGCCCTGAGACTCAACAGAGAAGGCCCGAGGCACCGGACCCTGAACACCCGAACCTTCATTCCACAAGAGACTCTCCTTCACCCCGCGCTAGAAAACCCTAAACCCTAGAACCTAAACCCTAAACCCACTGAGCCCTAAGGCCAATAGGCCCTAGAAGCCTGCAACTGGTTGAAGCCCTTCCTCGCTCACCCCTGAGCCATCCACAAACTCCCAGCCCGGACCGAAGTTACGCTTTGGGTTCGCACTTCTTGCGAAAATTCGGAAACCCTAAACCCTAAACTCTCAACCCTAAACCCTAAACCCTTTTGTTGGCACAAGCTGCAGGCCCTAGGTGGGACCTGTGGCCTCCGAACCCCAAAACATCCCAAAGCCCCCAGACCCTGGAGGGCCTGAAGTGGCGCCGGGCGGCCGACTGGCACCGGTTTAGGGTTTAGGGTTTAGGGTTTAGGGTTCAGGGTTTAGGGTAGCAGGGATTTTGGGGCTAATTCTGGGGTTTCGGGTTTAGGGTTCAGGAGTTTGGGGCTAATGGGGTTTAGGGCTCAGGGTTCAGGAGTTTGGGGCTTCTGGAGTTTAGGTTCAGGGTTCAGGAGTTTGGAGCTTATAGGTTTTGGATGGTTCTGGGCTTTAGGGTTCAGGAGTTTGGGTCTCATGTGGTTTAGGCTTTAGGGACCAGGAGTTTGGGGTGTATGGTTTCGGGGTGGCAGAGTTTGAGGGATCTAGGGTTCTGGGGTTTCGGGCTTCGACTCTCACACTGCCAGCGGGTGAAGATAAGGGTTCTGATTCAGGGGATTGGGGTGTTTGTAGTGGGCTCCTGTAGGGACCCTTAAGAAAAAGATCAACCTTTTCGTTCCAGGTGTTTGGTACAAAAGATCTTCTGGATGTCAAGGTTCCCTGGTACAGGGCGACGGGGGCTCGGAAGCTTGAAGCGATCGGCTGGCTCACCGTAAGCCACGGCGTTTGGAATCATGTGACTTGTGTGTTTTTTTAGGGGCTTGAATTAGAAATGATGATTTTGTGGGTTCAGGCCAGTATCATGTGCCTTAGATGTGCTGCTCCCAAATTTGCCATCTTTGGAGCTAGAGTCATGTTCGCGATAGGGGATAAATGCTGGGGCCGTCTCGGGCGTCCGGGGCCTGACACTGTACGTAGACCCCAGCCCAGGTTGGCATGGCATAGGCTGTAGACAAGCCCCTGGCACGCCTGGTAGTCCTTGCGCCGTCTGAGGACGAGGCGCCCAGATTGCAACAACACCACTCCTAATTCCTTCCGAGGGCGCCGCGAAACAAAACGAAAGAAGAATGAGCGCAGGACTAAATCATAACCGCATAACACATTGGCCGGTTGCGACAGGGTATCCATAGACTAGCCAACAGGTCGGCACAAACTTTACAAGCCTACAGGCGGTTCAGCGCTGGGAGTAGACGCCAGTTTAAAACTGCATTCCAAGCGCAACAAGTTCTGCACCCATGGCCAATGCTGCAGTATGCTGTGGACTCCTTTCTCTGTCCAGCAGTCCCCTACTGCAGCAAGTGCGCGATCTCGGTATGGCCACAGCTGGCAGCACAAAGGAGTGCTGTGCGGTTCAGCCGATCCATCACGTGCATGTCCGCGCCAGCTTCCAGCAGCAAGCGAACAATATCAGCATGGTTACCCAACGCCGCTTCGATAAGGGCTGTACGGCCATGCCCATCCTGCACTTCCTTGTCAGCACCAGCTTCCAGCAACAAGCGCACGCTCTCAATGTGGCCTGGGTGGGTGATAAGGACAAACTGACCATCTGCTTTGCAAACCTTTTTGCTGCAACCCGATGCACACATCAGGGCTGTACGGCCATTGCCATCCTGCAGGCGGCCACTAGCACCGGCTCGAAGCAGCAGGCGAACTGCGGAAGGGTGGCCATTTGCAGAGGCAGACATGAGGGCTGTCTGGCCGAAACGGTCCTGGACATCCTTGTCTGCACTGGCGTCAAGAAGCAGCCCAACAGTCTCGGTACAGCCGTGCCCGGACGCAAGAATCAAGGCTGTCCGGCCATCTCGGTCCTGTGGAAAATTCTTGTCGGCACCAGCTTGCAGCAGTAGGCGGGCTGTGTCGGCGTGATCATTCTCACATGCGCAGCGGAGGCCTGTCATGCCACTTGCGTCCTGAAGGTCTACGGAGGCCCGAGCCTTGAGGAGCACATCGGCCACCTGAGAGTGGCCATTTCGACACGCGCAAACAAGGGCTGCTTTGCTGGGGTAGAGGATTTGCTTGTTCGGGTCAGCACCAGCTTCCAGCAGCAGCTGGGCGACCTCTTCGTGGCCGTGTTCGGATGCGCATGCGAGGGCAACGCCGAGATTTGAGACACCGGCTTCAAGCAGAAGGCGCACGACCTCTGAGTGGCCCTGCTCGCATGCGCAACTGAGGGCTTGTTGCTTCAACAGCTCCGCGCGAACTCCTGCATCCAACAAGTAACGGACAGCTGCAACATGGCCGGCGGAGGCAGCCTCAAGAAGCTCATCACCGGCTTCGACCTGCTTCGCGTCGGAGAGGGCTGACACCACCAGTTGCAGGTCAATGCCTTCATCCCACTTGAAAGTGTCATCTAGACACTGGGTCCCATGCATGAGCCTCTGCAAGCACATCGGGAGGCCATGTACCTCGCGCACAAGCTGCTTCAACGTGCTGATGTCGCTCACCTCCTCCACGGTCCTGGAGACCAGCTCCTCCCCTGAAACGCTCCAAACGCGCAGCATGGCAGGGCACAAGCCTGTAGCAAGGCCTATCTGGCGCACAGCCACAAGGAACTGCTCGAAACCAACTACCGATTGACGATACAAAAATCGAATACTCGCATACATAGTATTTCGGATAGTACGGTAGCACAATCATCGAACATGGTAACGGTATTGGCGCATGCTGCAATTGTGAGACACCCAGGATAGGGCATGGCATGGGATGCTCCCTCAACTGACTGAAATAGTGAACTGCCTGAAGGGTTACGTTTAGGGTTGAGGCAACCCGGGAATGAAACATGCGGCATCAGCTTATCTCAAGACATTCAGCTTCATCCAAACGAAATTCGCAAATCTCAGGGGTTGGGGGCCATTGGGCTGTAGATCTATCAGTTACATCGTTTGTCAAACCCTTTCGGCATCCTGAACCATGGGCTGAGGACACTCCCTAGATTCGAATTACTTTAGGGTTTAGGGTTTAGGGTTGGATCCAAAGCTCGCTGATGCCTCGGCCTGCCGCAGCTCCTGCACAGTGGCACTCCCCTGGGACCTGCGCCAGGTTTACAGGCCTGCTTAGGGGCCTAAACCCTAAACCCTAGACCCTAGACCCTACACCCTAGACCCTAAACCCTAAACCCTAAACCCAGAACCCAAACCCTAAACCGCCGGTTGTGGCTCAGGATTTTTAGGCATGGCATTATACGGGCATTTCTCTAAGTTCTAGTGCACAAGGTGTGCTAATCTCAGGAACCGGACATATATAACATGGCTGCACTGAAGATGCTGCTATTTCTTCGTGCCCGCAAGCCGTGCCAATCTCTGTACGCATGTCTTTCAGCTCTTCTTCTGTTTCACATGCAGCTATTACGTCCTGACATGCACCCACGACGACCTTCCCCTGCCCTTCATGCTACCAAAAATCTCTGACACAGGTTCCTGCAAACGTTGCCTTGCTTCCGCCATGGCGTGAGCTCGGCACACAGCCAACTGACAGGACACGGTGCTGTGAGGCCTCAAGAGGCACTCAGTTCTCGAGCTTTAGTAATTTAGGTTGTGCAGCTTCAAGTTGTGAACGCCTATAGACCCTAATTCTCGACTATAAACCCTAAACCGTAAATATAGTTCTTGGGGACAGTATGTGGTATGCACCCAAGTCCGACCCGACACCAAGCCAAAATCATCTTACGCCCAAAGCTTTGGCAGACAATGCGAGCGTGTTGGAAAGCAATCCGCGAGACATCAGGTCCATCCCTGTAGCAGCACCGATCTAACTATGGAGGGCTTCGCAAGATGTGTGGTTGTAGTGTCAAGACTGAGCAGGTAGACTTAAGTATGGAGTGGTAGTTTTCATGGTCACTTGGTGTTGTGCCCTGGCGCGTCCAGAAACCCCTAAACCGTCAATCGCTTATCCTCCATACACCCTTGAAGCATCTTTGGAAACACGAAGCTCCTCAACTGCATGCTTACCAAAAACCGATGCCTATACCTTCAGAAGTGTATGACTCGACGTGCACGAGGGGAAGAGCAAGAACCTTTGCCAACAATTGCAATAGGGAGTGGCGAGATATCCAAGTTTCAAGTAGAAACTCCAGACCGCTACAAGCCGGAACTGCCAAGGGCGCGACTCCCTGGCAGTGGCATAGCCTCGTCGCTACGGCCAGCACTGTGACTTCAATCGGAAACACGTCAGGATCGAGAGTGTGTACAGTCCCGGAAGACAAACACATACCAGCACAGCTGGGGGAGACGTCCATGTCGAACAAACATCTGGCTGGGTTGGCTTCACATAGAAATATGCGCCGTGAAAAGTATCAATACAGAAACAGCTGGAGTGCTGCATCACTGCATCACCATCATGAGAGGGTTGTGCTGGAATCGTTCGTCATTATCGCGAAACGGCAGCCTTAAGAATGGCATGCCCCTTGCCACCAAGGTGTGCGCATGGAACCAGGCTGCTTACTGCAGCATGTGCGCAGGTTCAACCAGGAAGTTCACGAAATGAACCCAAGTTGACCCTTCGTTGAATAGATCTGGCCCATTTCGTCAGAAGTTGGCCTGTCCTTGAGAATCCCGGGTTCAGAATGTGCGCCCGGCGATTACTCCGAGGAACCCTAAACCCTAAACCCTAAACCCTAAACCGAAGCTTCATGAGGCCGCGGCGAAGGGCATCATTCAGCCGATCTTGCCGTGTCATGGCGTTACCACTGCGAGCCTCTGATCGTTGGCTCAATACCATATAAACCCTAGAACCCTAAACCCTAAATAAACCCTAGACCGTAAACCCTAAACCCTATAAACTCTAAACCCTAAACCTTATAACCCTAAACCCTAAACCCTAAAAACGAGGAGCCTTTCGGAGTTCAGGCCTAAACACCTTCTGGGGTCCTATTGTGTTACGGAGCACAAAGGGATTGGTGCCTCCTAAGATTATAGGGTGTCCATTCCGGCAAAGCTCCTGAAGAAGGGGCTGCCGCTCGGGTCCGGCTGGCAAGCGAAGTTTCGTGGAGCCCCTTGCATAGTCCATATTGTACAATCCATAAAATGATCCTTTTCTGACCCTTATTCGACTCCATGGAGCCTGCTACAAGATGATCTTTCTAACCCGTATTCTAAGCCATGAAGCCTGCTGCAAGATGATCCTAAACCCTAAACCCTAAGCCCTATACCCTAAACCCTAAGGCCCTAAGCCCTAAACCTATCATCCATGATGCCTGAGGCAAGCGCGGCCAAGTCTGCCAAAGCCCAGAAGACGTCCGTAAAGGCAGGGTCAAGAACGCCGCTAGTCCTCTCTTCAGGGTTTAGGGTTTATAGGGTTATAGGGTTCAGGGTTCAGGGTTTAGGGTTTCGACTCTCACACTCGCACAAGGCCGGCAAGGCATCGGTTGGTAGGTCTGTTAACGGGGTGGAGACATGGAGAGCCTTCATTGAGCCCCTCCTTCACAGCAGCGCCCCCATTCGAGGCAAGCCCCACGATTACCACAATCCCAACACCAATCTCAAACCCATACAAAATGCTCAAAAATGCTCACGTCCAAGGGGATCAGTGGCGATCGTGCAACATTAACAAAGGTGATGCATCCCTACACTACCTCACAGTCTTCGCTATACGACCTCACAGACTTGAATCCTTGACTCCCCAGTGTCCTACTCTTTGGCTTTCTACGACCAGCCCAACTCAGTGCATCTCATCGTCAAAAGCGTCATCAGATGTCTTGCTGTGCACGCTCCAGCCTGACATCCTGTTCGACGAGCTTCCCTGAGGGTCTCGTAACGACTTGCTCGGCCACATCGGTTTAGGGTTTAGGGTTTAGGGCTCTCTTCAGGGGATTACGATTGGGCGTAGCACTGGAATAGGAACGATGGCAAGGGTGAAACCTGCTTCTGGCGATCGCAAGGACAAAATAAGGACTGAAATAGGGGGCTCCAAGAAGAGGAAGAATATGAGTACAGAGTCAAAGAGGCATGATAAGGACAATAACGCGGACCTTTTTTTTAATCACTTCTCTAACTTAGGGTCCTTTTGGGGCCACCTTTTTGAAGGCGGGGCCCTGTAGTATGTAGGGTACCCAAGAAGGGACCATCCTTTTGAGAAGCGAGGGCTTCCTGGACCTGGGTGCGGAAAGGGATGGCTCCTGCAAAGCTGCGTCGCCGACTCAAGGGCCCTCTCTGCCTGGCAGAAAATTTTCCTCAGCTCATACGAGAGGGGTCGTCTTTTTCGGAAGCTTCTAGGCTTTGGGGCTGAGGATTACTTCAGTAGTACAGCTTTAACTGAGATTCCTGTGTAGTAGCTGGCGAAGACGCTTTCTGGCTTTAGACTTGCCGATTTGTATGTCTCGACATGCACGTGCTTGTGGAGACATGTACCAGCCACAGCACAAGATGAAAGGCTATTGCGTTTCAGCCGGGCTCCACATGCCTTGTCACAAAGCATGCGAAGGAATCTTGCGCGGAGAAGAGCTGGGATATCAGATTGCTGGCCCAAACTGGGTCGCACCATCTCTAAAAACTCCAAATACCCCCCCCCCCCTCGCGGATCCTGAAAACAACGCGGAAGCCAAAGCTTAAACCTGCAGCGACCTCCCCTAAACCCTGGAAGACTCACGAATGCATGCAAACAGGAGAAGTACAACATAAATTCTCATGCAAGCCGCAAACTGCTACATAATCTATCCGCCCAACCCACCTAGACCCTAAATTTGCTAGCCCAGTAACCATACTCTAACAAGGGCCCCGGCGATAACTTTATAAGGGAACCTAGAACTAAGAAAACGGGTGACAGGGCACCACCGGGATACCAAGTAAAGCCACCCTAGCAAACCCTCTCCTCCTAACCCTGAACCTCACACTCTCCTGAAGAGGAAGCACGCGCCTGCAGAAGCGGCAGCGTCCTAACCCTGAACCCTTTTTTTTTTTTGTTGCATCCGGGCTCTACGCGATATCTGCCGGAACCAAAGACTTATCCCACTTCGCTCCATCTCATTCACAAGTTCAAACCCAAAACCCTAAACCCTAAACCCTAAACCCAGGCCTCGGGAAAGACTTCGGCCTCGACGCTACATTTCGCTGCATGGAGCCGCTCCTGGATGGAGGCGAACTGCTCCTTCGGGAGCCGCACGTTTAGGGTTAGAGGTTTAGGGTTTAGGGATGTTTAGGGTTTAGGGTTTGGGGTTTAATTAGGGTTTAACAAGCCCTAAACCCTAAACACTAAACCCGAAGCCCTTAGTGACACTTCGAGCTTGTGAAAGGTTTGAGGCCGGAGGCCTGGGACTTGGAGGGACTTCCGGGCTCTGGGAGCTCAAGGTAAAAGCAAACCTGGGGTTTTTGGGTAACGGGGGTGTACGGTAACAAGGCTTAGGGTAATAGGGCTTAGGGCTTAGGGCTTAGGGTTTAGGGTTTAGGGTTGAGGGTTTAGGGTTTAGGGTTTAGGGTAACAGGGTAGGGTAATAGGGTTTCGGGCAATGGGGCTGAGGGATAGGGCCAGGGTTCAGGGTGACTATGCCTTCACGATGTTTGTTGTAGAGGGAACCCTAAGCTTCCCTAAACCCTAAACCCTAAACCCTAAACCCTAAACCCTAAACCTTAAACCCCAAACCCCAAACCCCAAACCCCAAACCCTAACCCTAAACCCTAAACCCTAAACCCCAATATTCGGGCTGATCGCATGGGAAGACGCGGCTGGGATTTGAGAGCAAAGAGACATTCTGAAGTGATGGTGGCGGGAGACGCAGACGAACTCACAGCTAACACACATAGCAAGAAGTCTATGCCAGCTGCCTAAACCCTAAACCTTAAACCCCAAACCCTAAACTAGAGGCCCCTGCAAAATTTGGCCAACAAGACTCCATATGGCGCACAGCTCATTTCTTGAGGGAACCCTGGAGTTGCCAGTGCATATGGGCAGTTCTCAAAATGATGTTCCTTTTGGGGGTCCTTGTTCTAAGGTGGCCCCTACTATTTTTCGGGCACCCCAAAAATGGACGATGGTTTTGAGCATGCAGCACCTCAGGCTTCGGAACTACCCCGAGAACCGCAAGAAGGCCTCGTCCGCGTCGAACTCGTCCGGGCCCTCGTCGTCGACTCCATGCACGGAGCCCTTGATTCGGACAATGCAGAAGGGCTGCAGAAACGAAAGCTGCCTAAGTACAAGCCCATACCCAACTTCCCAAATTCGAGAGTCCGTTTTAGCTCAGGACGCTACAGCCCAGCAATATCAGCCCGAAAGCCTAAGACTCACGACCCTGAACCACCTCCCCTGAACCTGACACATCGACACATCCTAGCTATGACAACCCTAAACCCCGAACCCTCAATTCCAACCCCAAACCCTATAACCCTAAACCCTAAGCCCCCAACCCTCAATTCCTCACTCCCCAACCATCGGCTGAGGTGCCAGGAAGGCGACTCGCTCTTCATGGGGCAACCGTGGGTCGAGATAGTTGTCCACCAGCTCCTGGGAAAGTTAGGGTCTTCAAACCCTAAAACCCTAAAACCCTACCACCCTAGACCCTAAAACCGTCACTTATGTTCAGGGTTGATTGGCGATGTTTCCAGGGGCTCTTTTTAGGTTTCGGATGGTGTTTAGGGCTCCCTAACCCCTAAGCACTCAATCCCCCAGTGGCCGAAGTCCTTGAAACCGAGCAGATGTCAAGCACTGCTTGCCCTAAACCCTATGTCCTAAACCCTAAACCCTAAACCCTAAACCCGAAATAAACCTCAGGCCGCCTCCCCGGCAGCCACATCACGCACAAGCCGCAGAAAGACTTGGTGGCCTGGCCAGCTGTGCAATTCGGGTGGGGTCTCCGAAGCCATATGAGGGTCTCCGAAATTGCGTTCTTGGAAACTGAACTCGCTAGGTCAAGCAGACATTTGATTGCGCAATTGTGTGCCCCGCTAACCCTAAACCTTAAACTCAAAACACTGCCATATGTACTTGGAGACTTTGGGTTTTTGTTTCATGGCAACAACGTGGTGGATCATCCCAAGCTGGAAACACGATAAGGCCAACAAACATACCCTCGAAATCGCCGAAATCGACAAACACTCGGGCCAGGGACACCCAGAAAACTTCGGGTGACCTGAGCGTGGCAGGACTTCACCCTTTATAAACCGGTCGGGATTTCACCCTAAACCCTAAACCCTCAAACCTAACGGTCATGGCAGTTCGGGGGATTTAGGGTTTTCTCGGGTTTTAGGGCAGGGTTCATTCTCTGACTGAGGCAGAAGGGAGCCTAGGATTGCGTGCGTTTCTGAGAAGCGGTGCTAAGCAATGCCCCTCTACGCAGCCACTAGACTAGGATGGCCCTTAAAACCCTTCCTGAAAAAAATCCTGAATATGATCCTCTTAAACCCAATAAGGGGAAACATGAAATGTCAGTTGTGGCAGCGAATCCCAACAGGCAGATGAAGTGCTTTGCTTCTTCCAGCGGTCTGCATGTAGCGGTCTGCAGCAACTTCGGGCGTTGTCGCATCACGTGCGCTTCGTGGGACACTCGGGGATTGAGGCTGGAAGTATCACATCTCATGCTTGTGATATCAACACTCAATCCCATTTCTGTCCAGCTTTTGTAATTCTTTTGCCTGCACTGCCTTCTCAGATGATAAGCTGACGCGCATGCGGAAAATCTGCTTGACTAAGGTTGCCAGCGCCAAGCTGCGCGTGCAAGAGCTCGGGAAGCTTCGTGTACAAGACATAATGCATTGAGGCACGCAAGCACAGACTGCGCTAGGCTGAGGCACAACAGCTGGACACATAGACCGGTCTTAATACTTCCTGGCGGCAGTGCATGACCCCTTCTTGCCGACATGGCATTCTGACAGGTTATGCGTCATGCGCGCCCCGAGCGTTTCTAAGAGCTAGTGTGCCAGTGCCAGCAGGCTTCCTCTTCGTCAGCATCCTTTCATTCGATACACAGCCTCTTGACATCCAACAGTTCGTTTCGCACCTGGAAGATTATGAACATTCACGAAGCTAGACTAGAAGCATGCCATTGCGGGGCCACTGTCGGAGTGCTTCCCGCCAGCGAGAAAGATCAGCTTCATGGCTTGGGAGCGGCGGCGTCGCGAGGAACGCGATGGCAGAGTCCCAGCAGCAGAGATGACGAAACCTGCGCAACAAGTAAAGACTCGAAAAAGCCCAAGGTCAGAGCTCTATAGAGTTTAGGGCTCAGGGGTTTAGGGTTTAGGGTTTAGGGTGAAGTCTTGAATCTATGAACACACACACAGAGACAAACAGAGCTGTCAAATCTGGAAGTCCTAAATCCCAAGTCTCGTCGGTCTCTGTTCCGAACCCGAAACTCTAGCCCCTAAACTCACTGATTCGTACCTTATATCTCCCGAAAGAACCTTTTGTAGATAACATAGAAGCGCCCTTGTTCCCAGTCCTTTCAAGTCGACCCTTGGTGCATGTGCCCTGTGGAAACGCTGGCCCCGATCCACCCTTAAGGCCTAAGCCCTGAACCTTAAATCTTAAACCCTAAACCTTATGCCCTAAACCTTTTTCCAAGAGACTTCGCTTATAGGGCTTAAACCTTGAACCTTGAACCGTAAACCTTAAACCATAAACCATAAACCTTAAACCCTAAACCCTAGACCGATGAGCCGCACAGATAGGCAAGTTTTCCGGTCTTCGGGCTTGGTGCGGCTTTTGTTGGGGTCGAAATGAACCCTAAAAGGGCTTCTAGTTCATCTACCTTTCATAAGAATTGTAGTTGCAGAGGGTATACATGACCCCCTCCGGTTCATTTGCTCCCCAAGGCTCGGGGTATGTCTGAATGTAACCCTAAACCCTAAACCCTAAACCCTACACCCTAAACCCTAAACCGAGCCCAGCAGCTACAAGCACAGAGGAGCAAGCCATCGCCGCACCACAGGCCACTGGCGGTAAAGAGATGCCAAAGGCCTGGACAATACTCCCCTTAGAACCTTAACAACAATAACATTTCTAAAATATTCTCTTGGGGTTTTATAATAACAAGAACAAAAAAGAATTCCCGAGGGAGATATAGTGGAGAGATTGAGGTTTAGGGTTTAGAGGGGTGTACTCGGCGCTTAGGGTGTAGGGTTTGTGGGGCTGATAGGGTTTTAGCGGGGTGTTCGAAAGGGTTTATAGGGTTTGGATGGGTTTTTAGAGTCCTGGGCTTAGGGGTTTCGGGTTTAAGGGTTGTTGCCACCCGCCAAGCAGACCAGCCGCACTGCAGGGTAACACATCGGGACGGCAGACGAAGCTTCGAAACACTCTAAAGCCTACTGGTTCAACAGGCTCAGGAAAGTTGCACGCAGTCCCCAAAGGTTCGGGGTTTCGGGTTGCTGCCAGGCAACTGTCTAAAGGTCCAAGCGACAAGAGTCATGGGATTCAACTTGTGCGTCAGGTTGTACTCCCTTGGGTTTGGGGACCCTATTCAAAGGGAGTATAAGTGCCATGTGGTAAGTTTTGTAAATAGGGTCCCTTTTTGGGCACCCTAAGTAAGAGGGGCCACCTTAAAATAAGGACCCCCCAATAGGACCCTACAGTAGAGAAGTGACCATATGAGGCGTATATTAAGGGGACCTCTGAAGGGGAACATCCTTGGGGGTCCAAGTTTGACTCCCGGATGCAATGATCCAGGGCACACACCTATGCTCGAGAAACCACCAACAAACGAACGAAGTGCCTCTGACCCCTTGGAACTTGGAAGTCACCAAGAAATAAATGAAGTAGCTGCCAGTAACCCCCTGAAGCCGTCCATGGCGCGTCTTGACTGATGCATGCGCAACATGCAAACTCGACAAGCGACCCAGTCCAGTCGAACGGGCTCAGCTCTCTGTTTGTCAAGTGTTCGTTGTGATTTGTCCTTGTCGCCGCCGCTTCGCCCTTGTCTCGCAATAGTCGCGTAACAACGCTGCCACGTCCAAATGGCCATACTGCTCTGCCAGATAAAGCGGTGTCTCTCCAGTTGGAAGAGCTCGGTCCCTGTCCGCACCGCATGTTAGCAACAAACGCGCCACTTCCAAGTGTCCATTGTGTGCTGCTGTGAGGAGGGCAGTGTATCCGTTAGACAGAATTTCGTTGCTGTCCGCGCCCGACTCCAGCAACAAGCGTGCAACATCCAAATGGCCACAGTGCGCTGCCACAAAAAGAGGTGTTACTTCCATTGCTCCGTGTGGGCCGTCCTTTGCACCGGCTTCAAGGAACAAGCGTGCCACTTCCAAGTGTCCATTCACCGCAGCGAGGCAAAGAGGCGTGGCTCCATCTGTCCGTGCTCGATGTACATCCGCACGAGCCTCAAGTAGAAGTGCTGCAGCCAACTTGTTCCCAACTTCAGAAGCAAAGTGCAGGGCTGTTGCGCCATCAGCTGCCAGATTCGGATCTTGGGGTCTTTGAAGGAATGTTTCCACCTGTCGTAGGTCGTCTCCACCAACGGCCCGGCAAAAGGTCTGAACCTGCTCGTAGGTGGTCTCTGAGAAGCCCAATAAAACTAACTGCAATGACATGGGTGCACCAAGCAGGGCATCATCCGACAGGATTTGCCCATCTTCTTGGAGGAGTCGCTGTCGAAAGCGGGGAACGGCGCAGAGAGTCTGAAGATGCAGCTTCAAAGCACGAACATGGCCTACCCCGTGATGCTCGCTCAAACACTGCAGTTCCTCCATCTCGAGGCAAGCCACCTCCTTGCCTGCAAGCTGTCTGACGCGGATCATGGCTTCTGAAATCTGAAAACTGAAAAGGATGACGCTCAAAAAAAACATACCCTAAACCCTAAACCCTTAGCGAGAAGCACGATTGCGGCGTTGAGGGGCGGTTGATCTGTCTATAGCACTGTGAGCTTCAATCGTGGCCCGTCGTCTGAACCAATCGCTCGCCCGGCATGCACACGCCACAGGGTCTTGTAAGGTTCAGGGTTTGGGGTTTTTGGCGCTCGCCCAGCTATTTTAGGGTTTATGGGGTTTAGGGTTTAGGGCAGAAGAAGAGTGCCAGGGGCTTCAGTCCAAGGACGCTTGACTTTATCCGCTTATGAGCTATCATCCCCTTTCCCCAAAAGTGCCATCGCCCCATTTAGGGTTTTTTAACGCTAAAAAACCCTAAATTGGTCGTGCTCTTGGGTTTTTTAACGTTAAAAAAACCCTAACTGCCGCGTATGATCATTGGAAGCAAGCCATGCTGGGGTTTCAGTGCTTGGAGGGGGAAAGGCTGGGAGGGATGTTAGGGCAACCCAGATTTCATTGCAAGCCTCAGCCTAGCCCTCCCTAAACCCTGAACCCTCTTGACCCTAAACACTGAACACTGAACCCTAAACCCAGCCTCACCGCACCCAGCTGCTAAGGGGAGACCTGGTGCAAGCACTTCTGGGAAGGCTCGGGGGGGGGGGGGGGGGAGGGGGCGGGGGGGAGGGGGGGGGGGGGGGGGGGGGGGGGGGGAGGGGGCGGGGGGGGGAGGGGGGCGGGGGGAGGGGGGGGTGGAAGGGGGGGGGGGGGGGGCGGGGTTTAGGGCTCGGCGCTATCTCTGAGTCTGAGCAACTGAGCGCGACTGCACGGGTTTAGGGGGTTTAGGGGATTTAGGGGGGGCTTAGGGGATTTTGGGTTTAAGGGAGTTAGGTAGATTGAAGGTTTAGGGGATTTAGGGGGTTAAGGGCTTTAGGGGGTTTAAGGGGCTTAGGGGGTTTAGGGTTCTTTTTCAGGGTTTAGTGTTTAGAGGTTTGGGTTTAGGGTTTAGGGGGTTTAGGGGGCTTGAGGGGCTTGTGGGGTTTAGGGGGTTTAGGGTTTAGGGTTGTGGTTTCGAGTGTTATAAGGGTTTGGGGCTTAGGGTTAAGATCTCTAGGGAACAGCCGCCACCCAACTTCTGCAGCGAACTTTATAAGTAACAAGGACTCAAGATACTAAACAACTGCGCGAATGAAAGTTAAGCGTGCACTTGTTATGAGTTCATTCAATTCACCGCGTGCTCTTTACTTCCTGCCTCACTTCTTCACAGCTATGAGTTTTGTGTGCCTGCTACTCGTAACGAGGGGATGAATGTTAATGGGAGAAAAAAAACACGAAAGAAAAACAAAGAAAGAACGAACGACAGGGACCTAAAACAAAATGCCGGCAGCCAGCATTC